GGGGCGAAAATCACTCTCCCCAGACCCACTGCAGTTCCCAGTGCAATGGGACCAACACCTTTAAGCACAGCACTGTCCTGCCCCCAGGAAAGGGCGTGTGCACTGTGCCTGGCACAGGGATGTGCCTTTAGCGGGTGAGGAAGCAAGGGGATGAGCACAAGACCTGGGCCCATCGGCCTGGACCACTGACGGGGCTTCTGCCCACACACAGTTCTGTTTTAACCCGGGCTGTGGCCACTGAGGCAGCAACAGAGAGGAGGGCTTCATGAGTGTGGCTGGGAGAAACAGTGGGCCAGGTTTCAGTCCTACTCACAAGCTGTGTTGTCTTGGCTGAGTTACTCTCCTTCTTTGCAGCTCAGATTTGCCGTCTGCCCAATAGGCGAGATGATAACAGTTCCCTGATAGTGTCATTGGGGGGATAAAAGGACACTGTAACGTCTGTAACTCCTGGCAGTGGGAAAGCACTGGGCACGTGTTCATGATCAGGGTTGTGTTTTTCCTGCCTCCAGAGTCCCTTATGTTTCTGCCGCCTGTCTGTTTCCACTCTGCCTTGAGGTCTTGTCTTGCTATTGATAGAGAACCAGAGAATTATATTGTCTGGAGCATCATGATGGCTTGTCCCACGTTCCCTGAACCTACGTGCCTCCTAAGCCCCTGTCTTAGGATTCGTCTCAGCAGATTCAATGAACTGTCATGGGCACCGTGCGTGAGGTCGCGATGAAGCCAAGCTCCTCAACGCTTCACCCCCTGCACACGGCCCTCTGCCTTTGCCCCTTGGCTGCTGCTATTCTATAACGTAGAATGCCCGCTCCCTCCACTCTCTATAAAGTCCAATCAGAGTTCTGCTGTCGCCTTGATTCTGGGCTCGAATGGGCCTTTCCATTCTGTGAACTCCTCCAACACTCTTCACATACATGTCATGTCGGTTGCCTTCTAGTACTTGGGGTGGGTGTCTGCTGTCTCCCCAGCTAGGGCAGAAGCTCTTCATGGGCAGGACATCCCGGCATCTATAATATCAGCCGGGAACCCATCCAGATTGCCCGGGGAGTTTTCCTAAAGGGTAGGCTCTGACTCCGGAGACAGGGCTGATCGGCATGGTCCCGTGAGACCTCGCCTAGTGATTGGCAGTCAGAGACACGAATGACAGCATATCTGGGGACCTTTAAAAGATCTGTGTCCCTCAGCCCCAAGGTTCCTATCAAAATTCTTGCAAAAGTCTTGTGACCTTCGGTTAGACTGTTTCACCATTTTTATTGGCATGTTTGTCTGTGTCTTTCAGTCTGTATGGCATGCTCATTGCCTCACAGTCACAGAGGTGAGACAGCTATGTTTGATTAGTTCCAGATAACACTGTGTAATTTTCAACAGCCTGTTTATCAAGCCTGTGATTTCTATATATACTGATTTCGGAGAGAGGGAGAGAGATAGAAACATCAATGATGAGAGAATCATTGATCAGCTGCTTCCTGCACGTCCCCTACTGGGGATCAAGCCCACAACCCAGGCATGTACCCTTGACAGGAATCAAACCCGGGACCCTTCAGTCTGCAGGCAGACACTCTATCCACTGAACCAAACTGGCTAGGGCGACCAAACACTTAAAGAATGTGTAAAACACACCCATTCTACCCGAGGACACTCAGGGGATGAAGTCTCTTTGTGCTTCTCTGGTTTCCTCCCTGTGGGAAGGTGGTGTGACATAATTGCCAGCTGATGGAAGGGTCCAGCCGTGAAGTTGTTGATTAGATTAATGTAAACAAAGTGGTGGACACAGACCCTATTGAACAAAACATCAGATACTATAACATGGCATTTGGGGGAAACCTTTTAATGACACCTTTGAATATGGATCTTTGGGGGAAAGTGACCTTGGAGGGACCATCACAGTGACATGTCCGTCCTGTCCTGGTTCTCAATCAGTTCTCCGTTGGTCGTCTGCAGCCTCTGGTTGCCCTGGACGCCGCTCTGGATGCCTCTGCAGCAGAGGTCTAGGCGGGTCATAAGCACTGCTCTGGGGACCCAGAGGCCTTACAGAAACCCCTCCAGGCAGAGGCGCCGGCTCCTTCCAGAAAGTCCCGGAGGCCTCCCTCCAGTCCAGAACTAAGGAGCCATTCTTCTTTCTCTGAAGTCTGGTCTTCTGGTGGCTCAGAGGCTCCGAGCTTTGGCTAATTCATATTCCAGCGACAGCCGGCAGCAGCACGCGGCCCGGAGAGGGGGCAGGAAGGCGGTGCGTGGAGAGTCCGTTTCTTCTGCTCTGGCCCAGAGCTGGTCTAAAGGAAACGCCTCGTCCTTTCTTCACAAACATTTACAGAAAACCAGCAGGTGCGCTCCAGTCCGTCAAGTCTCGCAGGAAGCCCGATGCTCAACAATGGTGTCCTCTGAGGTGGAGTGAGGTGACCAGGAGAGGACAGGTCTCTGGAAATGACCCAAAAGATACTAATTACATTTCCTTTTAAAAAATGAAAGAAAGGAAGCTCTCTTCACATCTGTTCCCCAAGGCCCAATAGAATCTTTCTGGAGGCCAGATTTTCTGCCATCGAGGCTACTTTTCTTAGACTCAGCTGCCCACTGGGCTGCTTGGGAGAGGCGTGTCAGGCTATTTTTGTTTCCCCAGCAGGCCACGAGGGCATTGTCTCCATGAGAGTTTGTAAAATTTTTCCAGTGGTCAAGACTTCTGGTTCTCAAGCCACAGTGTTAATGTCACTTACGAGTCATTGAAGAGAATGCCATCCATCCTGAAATAAGTGTCACTAGACCGTGTCACCTTATGTGTGTGTGTGTGTGTGTGAAAATCTTCACATGAGCACTCTTTCTATTGTCATTCTACTGTCATGCCTGTCCCCTATGCCAACACAGTTTCCTTCATGGCTTGAAAATTTACTACATACTTAAAATTTAACTCATGATTGTATAAAGCCAAACTTTAAAATCTTCCCCTTCACCTTACTGTTCTATTTCCTTTATGCCTAGCCAGTGTGGCCCAGTGGTTGAGCATCAACCTACAAACCAGGAGGTCACGGTTTGATTCCTAGTCAGGGCACATGCCCAGGTTAGGGGTTTGATCCCCAATAGGGGGCATGCAGGAGGCAGCCAATGATTCTCTCTCATCATTGTTTCTCCCTCCCTCTTTCTTTCTCTGAAATCAATACAAATATATATATTTAAAATAAATTAAATAAGTCTTCATTGGTAACTTACCTTAAGGGCTCGGGTCAAATGCAGCATTTGTGAAAACTCCGTATGTCCCCAGGTGGCTAAAGAACAGAAACACAAAGATGACCTGCCACATGGTGCTTAGCCCGTGACCACAGTCCAGGACATAGTTTCTCCAGAATGAGGGTTACCGCCCACCCCTGGGATTCTGCTTTAAAAGGGAAAGAAGAAACGCCAACAGGGCTATCTAGATGCCCCTTAACAGCTCCTTTCATACCCAGGTGCAGCCATTGTTGATGCCTCTGGTGCTGAATGCCTGCTACGCCCCCTACAGGGCTGCAGATTGTTCTTGGTGAGAGGAAGCCCTTACAAAATCCTTATCTTCATATTTGACTATCAGATCCCTGCAGGAGCAGGAGTGTTCGAAGTGTGGTGGTGCTGCCCCCTACAGGCGCTTTTTAATTTTCATAATGATCAAGGGTTCTATTGACATTGGCGGCAGGGACAGGGATGCTAGACACAAAACAACTGTCCTACGCTAATACGACTTTAGAGTATCTTCTCTACGCAATATTCATGCAGGTGGAAAAGTCTCCGAGCCCAGAACTTCACCGCTTCACATATAAATAAGGTGTTCTGCGTGTGTTGCTTTTTTACAGCTTCTAAAATGCAACTGCCTTGTGAGATGAAGGAAGATTTTAACAGGTTTTCCAGATGTTCTGCCAATCGTGAATCACTTACCCATCAGGTTGGCAATGCCTCTGGGATTTTTGAGTCACTGTTACAATCTTCCGGTCAGTTGTCCTCTGTGGCTGTTGCCTTCCTAGTGATTCTACCCGAAGGTGCCTCTGATGACCTCATGGGATCCACCAGTGCAGTGCCCCAGCTTTAGCCTTTTATTTCTACAGTAAATCACCGTCCCTCCTATTTTTATTTATTCTATAATTAGGGCACTTACTGACTTTTAAAACATGTGTAGTTAGGATATATTATCTGTGCATTTCATTTTGTTGCAAGAAAGGGGTGTTATGTATAATCACTCTGACATGTTATGGCGAATTAAAAAGTCAGACTAGAAAAATGAACTCAATCATAAAACAGTTCCATCTTACCTGTGAGGGTTCAGAGGGTCTTTCCCATCATCTGAAATAAGCAAGAAGACACCGTGATTGGTTAAAGAGGAAACAAGGTGAGGAGAAAGGTCACCCATGATGGGAGTTACTGGGGGAGTCGGTAGGTAGACTGATTTTCAGGTGACTCATTAAAGGGACAAGCTTCCCTGAGAGGCAGGGCCTACCTGTTTTAGGCTAAATCGAACACCTGACATGTAACTCCAGAGTCCTCTGACCTCTCACCTTTCCCCTCTGCCCTTTCAGTAGCAGCCTCCCGTCCTGGGTCTGGTGCCTGCCCCTTGGTTGGTTGTGGTTGTGGTTGAGACCATTGGTTCTCAAGACCCAGTTCTTTGGCACTCGAGGCCCCTGTCACTCATCCTGTGTCATAATCCCTCACCCTACACTTGGGCAAGTTAATTACCTAAAGAAACCCATCCCAACATAACAGTGGCCATCTCCCGCCGTGGTAACGCCAGCAATCAAGGGCCTTCTGTCCTAACCTAAACCAGGAACTGTGATAGTAGGAACTTAACACACGGCAACCATCCTATCAATGGAAGTATCTCATGGCTAACCAAGCTTTAAAGTATCAGGTCAAGTGAAGAACAAATATATTTATTACAGGGCATCTCAGAGCCTTTAATGTGATAATGACTTTGCAGGGGGGAGGGACAGAGTAGGCAGCACTGTCCTGAAATCGATCACAGAATCCTAGGAAGTTTAACATCCAGTCGGTCACATCAAGGGAAAGTCCCCCATCCTCACACATACATGCGTTTATTATTAAAGACACGGGAG